GGTCTGCCTTAAGAAAAGCTAGAAAACTCACTCCTATTGAGTGCTGATTCTACTATTAGTGACCCTTTATGACAGAAGTTGGTTTCTGAGACTCTCTTTAAAGGAGTAGAAACCCTCATGTTTATCACAAGACAGCTGTTGGTTTCAAATTGCAGACCTTGTGGTTAGCAATCCAACATGTAGCCTGCTACGCCAGCAGGGCTTCTTTTCTTAAGAAGAGCCCACGCTATGTCAGCAAATATCTCTGAATTACCTTATTTTCCTTTTACCTTTTTATTATAATTTGGGTGAAGGTTTGCAAAGCACCATATTTTTCATTCAATATTTTATACACAGTTTGTTTTAATTTCACTTATGATAATCCCCTGCAAGGGAATAATCCTCCTGAAATTTGTCTTCAGGTAAATGCTGCCTTTTTTTTTTTAATCTCCAATGGTTGATTACTCTAAGTTGTGCATACCTCACCAGTGATAATGTCTTCCTTATAAACCTATTGTTTGGTCGAAAATTGAGCCATGGGAGTGAACTGAAGGGTCACTAAAAGTATTGATTCCATCAGTTTTAATCTTACCAGAGACTGATCTTGATCTTTATGATTTTGGCTTTCATTCCTTATTTTCCCTCCATTCTGTCCAAGACTTTCCAAATATGATCTTTTGCCCCCAGTAGTTCTTGATGGTTGAGATGACTTTCCACATAAGTGAAAATCTTACTTTATTCATTTTCCAGCAGGCCTACCACCTTTGGCATATGAAACTGATTGAGATAATACAAAATGTCCCATATCTGACTGTTGGTGGAACGTCTAACCTCAAACCATTAAAAACAAAAAGCAAAACAGCAACAAAAACAAAAACAAAGCAAGATACTGGTAGTTGAGTCGTTGAAGGAGCCAACAGAGGAGTGTGTATTCAGGGTCACACCTCAGATGCACACCAAGGCACCTTATGAGTATTGTTCCCCTCTCATCCCTTAAATCCTTTGGTTAAATAGTCTGGGCTAAGAAAGCTCCACCTAAAGGTTGGTTGTGAGATTACCAGCGGAA